TAAAATCCTTCTCCAATATTCGCTCCGTATAATAGGGTGGCAATTTAATAGGGAAGGGGGCAGTGGACAATCCCCACTGTCCGGGTCTCGAACGTAGTCACCTCCACGCGGTGAGACCTGGGTTGGTAGCGTTTTCAAAGTCTTTGGAAACGGTACCAAGCGAAGAACTACGACTAGTTTAAGAATCTCTGTACCCCAAATTGTAAAATATTGTAAAGTATGTTGGTCTTTCAATACAATGTATGTGCTAATGAGTGTTACGACGAAATAAAGGAAAGAACTTGATTGAATTTTGATTAATAAATGAATGAAAATGAATCTTAGAATTTTTATTTCACAATTATTCCTCATTCCACTAATCCTGAGGTTAGCTACTTGAAATCTGCTCTAATCTAATCCTTCGAGAACGCACGAAAATGAATTTCGAGGCTAGTTAGTTATTCGCTTTCTATAGTTGATATTAAACGAGGGACCAGACAAAAGCTCGTACTATGATTCCTTTATGAATTCCATTTCCTATTCTTTCGATTCGAATTGAGATCTCGTTCCCAGGCGAACTTGTGAGTTACAGTACATTGGAGTAGACCGAGTTAACGAGATTCTTTATTCGTCTAATTTTGCACTGAGCCAAGCCACTCCCATCCCATATACGACTCGTCTCATTTCAAAGTCGCGCTTTATCTATTACCATACGTGATTTCCTGCTCGAAGCTAGCCGTCAGCGAGGAGGAAATGGCCCGAGGATCGGAGAAGATCGATTGCGACGCGGAGGTGGCTCGACTAGCAAAATTAATTGCGTTTCCCACCGATCCAACGCGAATCCCGTTTACGGTAATGGTCTCGGCAAGGTTTTTAACCCGCGGCTAGCCGGATACTCGTTTTGGCGAACTGAAAGCGAAGCGGCCGGAAACACAGGCGTACATGGAGCTTCTTCATGAACGGAAGTAAACCGAGGTCGTAGCAAACGCGCCTTACAATAACTGATCGCGATACTTAATCTATTTGCATCACAGAGGATCATCATTTAGAATAATCCTTTATACCAGGAATGAGGAACCTTTTTTATATGAAAGACCATATTCATTTTCTGAAGTAGTGGAAGAGTCGATCTTTCAAACCAAATGAAATATACAGTGGCATCTCGGTATATGACCTTAATCCATTCCTGATGTTTGCACTTGCAAACCAACCTTTCCCATAAAAAGTAATGAAAAAATGATTAATTGGTCGTCGTGTAAAAAAATACTTATACTGATATTATACCTACATTAATGGGATTATAAAATATTTTAAACCTGACCTAGAGAATATGAAATTAGAATGCCTGACATTTTTGATCGAAGTATGAAACGATTAACATTTCACACATTTGCCAAACACATTCTGTACAATACTTGCTTTTCATTCATTGCCGGTAACACATCAACCATTAAATGAAATATTGTATTAATTTATATTACATTATTTATCCTGAATAATTTATATTACATTACTTATCCTGGATTTATTCAAAACTGTTCCTTTTCACTAGTCCCATCGTCGATAATTCACTAGGAACTCGTTCATTTGCTCGAGCTCTTATCTCAACGAACATGTTCTTAGATTCAGCTTTCCACGCAGCGATTAGACTCGTAGATAGGAACAAGTGAACATCCACGTCGATTTTACTAACCGTGTTTGCATGCTCGAGCAGCTGTGTCAATAAACTTTGTTCCCGTGCGCTCGTTCTCCAGCATCCTCCAGCTTCTCGGTCCAGTGACCGGTAGCAAGTTTGAAGTCCCATCTGGGATTCGCGGAAAATCGGGCAGATTTCTATCCCCGATTCCAGCCCCGGCGGTCTGTCCCTGTTTGAAATATCGGCACGGACGATTTCGATCATGACTTTTTGCGGGACTGTAAACAGTTATAGACTGCGCCGAGAAAGTAGCACATATTTTTAGCATCGTAATTGCGGCTTGGGTCAGCTTCAGTGCAACGACCTACGACAACGTGACTTTTCACCGAGGATGTAGCTTCAGAATCTATTGCCTACCCGCGAGCGAAATTTACAGCCCCATTCATGAAGGCGTATTGGAAAACGTATAACCGTATCAGACATTTATAATCTGTTATCTGATATGTTACATGATTTACCATATCGACGCCTCCTATTCACATAATTCTAACTCGTACGAGAGTACGTCACAATTCTAACTCGAGTGTGGGCGCAGTACCAATAACAATAATAATAATAATTTTCGATTGGGATATACATATAATTTAGGTATAAATTTCAAGTCAAATCCTCCTTAATTCACTTTTATACAAAACACATTTCTTTTCAATTAATTTGGAATAGACGTTTATTTAAGTTTTTATTTAAAAAAAATTGCTGGACCGCAAAAATAAGCCAGCATTGGCATATAAGAATAGACCGAGCGCCTAAATTGGAGAATTGAAACCAGGCGATTGAGAGAAAGAAAAGGACGAAGATTTTTCTATTGGCACACGATAGAGAGAGAAAACAAAAAACTCCTCCAAAGTATGTTTTCTTTATGGGATCAACAAAAATACATTGGACACTCGGTTTATTTTCCTTATGTCTACGGTTGCAGCGGGTTGCGTGGAGCGTTTTGTTCGCGTAATATCGGGACAAATGATAGCACTCGGAAAGGAAATGCCACTGTTCCGTCGGCTCGAGTTTATTGACACGTTGCGGTTTTAGGTAGGACGAATAAATCGGCTCGTTGGACAACGAGATGCAACGAACCGAGCCGCACGAGTCGCGTTTCGTGTTACCGTCGACACCACGCTTCGAATCTGTGCGTTCTCTTTATCTAACGGTGCTCAGCACGACATTCCTTCCTTAGTATCCATATGGAAACTTAATCGAACTCTTGTCGCATCCGAAATTTCGCATACATGCTTACAATTATATAAACAAGCTTTATTATTCGAATTATGAGTTATAATTAGAAGGGTTGCAATGTTCTTTGGAATCTTGGTACCTCAAGCAATTTTATTTGATCGAATTGAGCATCGCTGACGATGAAACCGTGCGCGTAAACTCGCGCGTTATCAAATGGACCAAGAAGAAACGCGTAACGCGTGCTTCAGGGACATTTACGAGCGACCGTGACTAATTCCCTTTTCATAACGACCATTTTCACCTGTCGCAAATAACTCGCATATGACTGTACCGTTACACTCTGTGCAACTTCCTCGATCAAATTGATTTGATGAGAATTACGGTTCACAGTGAAAATCTACGTTCACTTTCCTCATTTTCCTTCCAGAATTTAGTTACATACACTTCCGTTCATAAATCACCGGATATTTAAGATTGTATGAACCCTTACATAAAAACAATGACAAAACATTGAAATTTTAACAGTTAGTCTTACATATTACATTAATAAAACTCTGTATCGCAATGCACTTATACCCTTTACATATGTTTTTTTACGTTTTTTATATACTCAATTTATTATAAGTGTATAAAATTTATAGCCTGCTAATGGATTAACGAACGACGTACGATTGCCACGTATCCCTTTCGGATTCGGAGGCAACTCGTGCCCGCAATTACTCTCCGCTTTCACCCGGCAGATCGACGATTAAGTTATCGTTCGTTCCCCCGATGGAACTCCAATTTCGTGTATCACGTCTTGGCCAGCCATCTGGCCATCTATAATTTAACCGATTCAATCTTCCCGCAAATCCAATCCTTCGCGGCTTTTCCGTAACGGCGATCATGATTAGATAATAGTGGACAATAAGCAATCATTCTGCGGTTAAAAGCAACAATTTTATCCCTGTTTTTGCCGATGTTATTACCTCCAAATTGAAACAGTTAACTGCACAGAATAAAATGAAGAAACAGGGACTGTGTTTTGTAATATTTTGTCTCTTGATATATCAGGAGGTTTCATTAATTCGTAGACGGAAAAACCTTTTTGGTACGAATGGATCAATCGTTGGATCGCCTGAAAAAAAAGCGGTTCTTCTTTCGACGAGGGATCCAATTTTTGCCAGAGAGGTGGCAACTATTTTTATTGATGATAGATTGTAATATGTTTGATTTTATTGAATCTTCTCTATGAAATTGTAAAGATTCTCTTTTTTTCTTGTTGCAGCTGCACCGTGGTGTTGTTCAACCCACGGAAGAACAGTCAGGCCCACGTGTTGAACGCTTGTCGCAAGACGGTCACTTCTTTAGCGCTCGCCGGAGATGGAAGGTTCCTCGCGACCGGCGAATGCGGTCATATGCCGAACGTTCGTGTCTGGGACATCTCCGATCCGTACAATGCAGTACAGATCGCTGAGTTTTCCGGGCATAAGTACGGTATCAACTGCGTGGTGAGTGATATAGAAATTTAGAACAAACGGCATGCAAAATTAGTGCAGTGAAGCGAATCCACTGCGAATAAAAATTTGTCATAGATTTCTGTAAGATAAATGTTTCAATTTCTATTCGCTGAGGTATGTTTACACTTGTAGCGACCGAGACACGAAATTCGATGTTGACTTAGCGATGGCTCTAGAAAGAATAATAAGCGAAAGAGAAAGAGGAACTGCGCCGGGCTTGAAAAATTATCTTACCTCTTCCAACACTGATACAATCGCATCTAGTTTAATTTTATGCACGAACACTATCTTACAATCAAGCATATTGCATTAATTTTAAGGGAAGACATTTATCACGGAAATGCTGTACTACTTAACTACAAGAATCACCGCTACTTGAAACCGATACTCCTCAGCAGCAATCTAAATCGTGCAACAAAGAGTTGAAATAGCAGTCGTAAACCATTAGTTCGTTTAGCTCCGCGGCAACTTTCGTTTCGGTAGGAATTTAATTTCGAGGGTCGGGTTTGTTCTCGGCCCTTTCGAGTCGAGCAGAAGCGAAATTACTTTCCGCAAAGACGCCGGGAGCGTTTCGAGTCCCATTTCGAGAAATACCGAGAGAGGAGCATTCACAATGAAATAAAAAGAGGGCCGGCGGCGTCGAACGCGCTCGTACGACCTCGCGCCTCCTACGTCGTCGTCTTGCGCGTACTTAATTAAGATCCTCAGCCTTTTATCCCGCGTAGAGGCGCGAGATTTCTGAAAGTAAGTAGTTGGTCAAATACAGTGTCCTAGTTAAGATATCGGACTCTCTACGTTCATCTGGCATGTTTGTTCTTTGAGAATCCTCCAATTAATAGCGAATCCGTTGGCTTGGAAATATTATTTCACGACCGAGCTACTTCCCTTTTATTAGCTAACGATCTCTAATAGCTAGAGAAGCAAGCCGGTCGAGGGTTCAGCGTGCATCCACGTAGTCGAGGCGTTGCCGAGCAAAGTACGTGAATACGAAATCGCTTCGTTCCCAGCCAACGGACAACGGTACTCTTTTTATTGTTCCCTCGCATTCCCCCGATACCTACCTCGGGTACAACGATCTTTCCACGCGTCCCTCAGCCTCTGAACTCGTTCGTTCGGTTCTTTTCACCCGCGATTTCAGCCGCGCGCTTTCCGCGGGTCTCTCCGATGAAAACGAGCTATTTTTTTTTTCTCCCAAGGCATTTTCACCGAGCAACAAGTACGTGGTGTCGGTCGGCTCTCAGCACGATATGATCGTCAACGTCTGGGACTGGAGGAACAATGTTAAGGTGGCGTCGAACAAAGTTTCGAGCAAAGTGAAGGCCGTATGCTTCGCGGAAAACGGCAATTACTTTGTCACCGTAGGCAACAGACACGTCAAATTTTGGTACCTCGAGTACTCGCGCAGTGCCAAGGTATGATCTTTTCCCTGCTCGATTTTAGCATTTAATCGAGGGGTTCCCAAAGTTTTGTCTAGGTGGGCCAAGTAAATTCTGAAATTATTATTAAATTCTTTAATTAATGGAAAAGTCTTTAAGGAGGCAAGCGTAACAGTGATAATCGGAATTTTGTTGCACAGTATAAGGAACCTGTGCCTTTGATGGGTCGGTCTGCCATATTAGGCGAACAGAGAAACAACGATTTCGTGGACGTGGCCTGCGGCCGGGGGGAAATGGCAGACTCCACGTACGCGATCACCAAAACGGGTCTCCTATGCGAATTTAATAACAGGAGACTCTTGGACAAATGGGTGGAGCTTCGTGTAAGTACTCTTCTCTCCGGAATTTACGGATAACGACTTTGATATTACGTTCAATCTTTTGCACTCGACATTCTTTTCCCAATTTTTCAACAATTTCTTCACATTTTGGCTTATCCTGCAATTTTATCGAATTATATCTTTCCAATATAGAAAATGCAGCAGTTGCACGTGCGAGCTCTTAAGCATCGTTTATTGTATATCTTCTCAAGAATTTCTGTCGAGAATTCATCGTCGTCATCACAATGATTCGTCATGGATTAATTTCAGACGACCAGTGCCAATTGCATGGCTGTTGGAGATAAGTACATCTTCATCGGTTGCGCGGAGGGGATCGTGAGGTGCTTTAGTCCTAGTACTCTTCAATTCATTACCACTTTGCCCAGAACGCACTATCTGGGAGTAGACGTCGCTCAGGGCTTATCCATTAGGTATATACGCGAATCTATCCAGAAATATGGCTACGTAGCTAACGACAAGCGTTTATCGATCGCAGTCACATGTCTCAGCATCCGGCGAACGCGAGGTATCCGGATGCAATTGCTCTGGCGTTCGACGAACGGAACAACAAGCTCACCTGCGTGTACAACGACCACAGCATCTACGTGTGGGACGTGCGTGACATCAGGCGGGTCGGCAAGTCGCACTCGTTCCTCTACCACTCGGCCTGCATTTGGGGGGTCGAGATGTATCCCACGGGGCCGGATTCCGAGACTGCGATGCCCGCCGGTAGCTTCATCACCTGCTCCAGCGACGACACCATCCGCGTGTGGAATCTCGAGAAGGACGTCACGCCGAGCGAGACGCTTTACAAACGCAACATCTACAGTAACGAGTTGCTAAAGGTTCTCTACATCGATCAGGAACTGACTTATCTGAAGGATTTGGATCTGGCCGCGGCTGGATCGTCGGAGAAGAGCGACGCGTCGTACGACGGTCGTAACGGAGTCCGATCGATCCGCGTCAGCCCGGATGGGAAACATTTGGCGTCCGGCGACAGGTCCGGGAACATAAGGATCCACGATCTTGCTACGTTGGAGGAATTGTGCTTGATAGAAGCTCACGACGCGGAAGTCCTTTGTCTGGAGTATTCCAAGTTCTCCCGGTACTCAACGGACACGCCTAGATTGCTGGCGAGCGCCTCCAGGGATAGACTGATCCATGTGTTCAGCGTCGATCAGGGTTATAACTTTTTACAAACGCTCGACGATCACAGCTCGTCCATTACTGCCGTCAGATTCTTCAACCAGAGCAATCAGAGCAACCAGATACAGATGGTGTCCTGCGGTGCCGACAAGAGTATTATTTTCAGGCAGCTACAATCGGTGAGTCTTTTGAACGTTTTCATTAAGATAGTCGTTGCCCTACTATATTAATCAATAGACTGCGAATTTTATGCATTTATACAGCAATAGTATGTACAAAAAGAAAATTCATTTAATGTATAATTTAGGCTAAACATTAAAACAAAGTTTGTTTTCTAAGAAATAAAAATTTACAATCGAATGGCGTACACCCCTATCTTGCACTATTTTTGCATTGTTATCTGTAAAATAGCAAAAAACGTCAGAAATTTACCAACAAATACTATAAAAGTAGTGGTACTTTCGAATAGACACCAGGAGGGATGCCGCAATTCGCCAGGGGTAACAATGCTCAAGGGAAGACCACGTTGTACGATATGGAAGTCGATTCTGGGCAGAAGCATGTTTTAACTGCCTGCCAAGATAGGAACATAAGGGTTTACAATGTAGCCACGGGCAAGCACAGCAAAACTTTCAAGGGATCCGTCGGTGAAGATGGCTCGCTAATCAAAGTCGTTTTAGGTGAGACACTAATATTTAATAACAACGGTAATAAATCGGACAATAGGCTTCTCACAGATTATTTCACAATTGCTCGTATCAATCAAATACGTTCGTTCGACGCTACTTTCGTTCTTACGCAACGGGTACCGTTTCAGACGCATCAGGAATCTACGTAGCTACCTCTTGTACAGATAAGACGCTATGCGTGTACGATTACTATAGCGGCGAGTGCATGGCCACCATGCTCGGTCATTCGGAGCTGGTGACGGGACTGCGATTCAGTCCCGATTGTCGTAATCTCGTATCAGCCAGCGGGGATGGTTGTATATTCGTATGGCGTGTGCCTCGCGACATGGTCGTTACTATGCAGGCGCGTCTCGCTCAGCAAGCAATGCGAGCTGGAAAGTAAGATACAGTCCTTTCACTCTAATGCTCTTTTAAATCCAATTTAACTGTCTTACTCGAACCACCTTGTTGCAATCAGAACCGCCTCTAAACATAGCGGGACCCGGGGAAAGTGCCTCATTTGCCCAACATTAAGAGCAGTACTGATTGCAACAATGGTTTCTCTCTCTCTCTCTCCCTCTCTTTATTATACCCTCATGATTGATGAAACAAAAAATCGTTAAAGGAGGCCGCCTCAGGTGAACGGCACAGGGATCGACATACAATTGGACAACGAGACTTTCGGTTCGCCGCCGCCGGAGTTTCTGGACCCGAACGCGAACCCGACGTCGCAGAACGTAGGCGTGGATTACAGGTTCAGCGTGGGCCAGCTACCGCTTTGGGCGAAGAAGCAGATAAACACGGACGAGAGCGCGACCCTGGATTCGAATGTCAGGCCCCTCGGCGTCGACTTGCCTAAGGGTAGATGGGCGCAAAGGGTTCAGCAAGGCGACGGTATAACGGTCAAATCTGTGTACGACAGCGACGAGGTGATACCGTTCCCTCCGCCGCGCGGGGCTCTCGATTCGGACGGCGGCGGTAACGGAGGAGGTTCGAAGGACAGCTCGATAGACAGCGGAACCGAGACCAAATGCAGCAGCGATTATCGCAGGGAAACGATGATCATCAAAAGGGTAAAATCGCTTGCAAATAGGCTCGTCCAATCCCAGATCAGATAAACTTTCTAACGGATTAATAAATCATCTCGTTTCACTCGCGTGATCTACTAACAGTCAATAACTGGTTTTATAGGAAGAGGACGAAACTGTATTTCAACCTTGTCCAGATAGTTACAGAGAATTAGCAGACGAAACGAAACAGGTACTAACTGATCTCCAATAACAAAATGATTAATCCGACGTCTCTGGTCGTTACTTGATACATACAATACGCACCTGCGAATCGCGCGCGGTAATTCAGCTCGATCACACACTTCCGTTCGTCATTTATATTTCGTTCAGTCTGATCGTTCGCATCGCTTCACTCTCACTGTCTTTTCTTACTTTCGCATCGAACTGTCTGTTCGCGATTGTTTCTTTTTGTGTTGATTCTATTTTGTTTCAACCGACGGAATAGGTGATCGGTGGTAACGTGACTGTAACTAGAGGTAGCAATATCACGGAATTGACGCGACAGTCGAGGAGTCGTCATCATACCGACGACAGCAGTCTTGGCAGCTTTAAATTCGAGGTATATCTTACTAACAGAGCATCACCAAATGGTAATCCAATCGAGTAAGATCATGGGCTCCTGCTTGGCGGTATTTCGACTCGTCAGCACAGCTTGGACGAGGAACGATGGGTATCGTTCTTTGTCAACATTCGCTGACGAGCCGAATTTCCGACGAGCGGGATCCCGGCTTGATATCCATAATCGCGTTTATCGTCGCTTGCCTTTTTTTATTTATGGATTTTCAGTTATTCACGTTTGCCGCTTAGTTTTTTGTCATAATTGCCTCACCGTAGAGTCTCGAAACACAGGAATCTGACGCTTTTGTCAAATAACAATAGCTCGTAAGCGATTGAAGGAGATAATAAAGATACGATATGTTCGCGTTGAACAATGATTGTGTACCCTGTAGGACCATGAGAGCACGGAACACGACGGCGATGTGGAGGATTATTCTGAGGGAGAAAACGGTACCACTGGTTCAGAAAAATCGCATCACAGGTTGATGTACTACCCCCCACCGGAGGATATCGTGTCCAATCAGTTTACCGTGAACGCGATGGACGTGGAAGAGCTTCGAAGGTCAACCTTTAATTTTTATTAGAGGTGTGCGGAAACTTGAAAGTATCGAGAACTGGATGATCGGGATGGGTCGGAGACATCGGGGAAGATTCAGTCTCAAAAGCCGTTCCGATCCCGGTTCATCCCAATATTTTTTCGTCCCACTCCATCCCAATGTTTTCGGATTTTCGCACATCTATAATTTTTATCGCAAATTATAGATGGATCAGTGAACGTAAATTTGATACAGGTCTCAGAGGAGGCAGAAGAAACCCAGGAATGGAGAGAGCGGTCGAACCAGCGAGTTGACCGCTTCCGGTAGTCAAGATGACTCGGATTCCGAGGGTGGCGCTTCGACTCCCAGTGCCGAGCGTAATCCTCTGTCCATGCTATCGGAGGCTAGCTCGGAAGGGTTCGACCAATTGGCGAAACAGAGCCATCGCGAGAAATATCTTAAAAACGCTTTCGAATCTCTAAGCGGGGCAGAGGAACCCACGAATCGGACTGCGAAAACTACTACCATCAGTTCTCAATTCCACGGAAGGTGATTACCGCTTGGATAATTGGACATTTTTTTTTTATCGATCCAGTGAATCATAGATATGATTACAGACTCAGCGGCGGTAACGATAACGGTGGGAGCACTAAAATTCGTAACGCGGCAGTGGTAAACGCGACGAAGCAGGCTAGGGGCGATGCGGACATTGTAAAGAAGCGGGAAGAATTGCAGAGGAGGATAGAAGAAACCAGAAGAAAATTGCAAAGTGTAAGTACTACGAATTCTTCAGAGAAATACAATAAAAAGGAAAACTGAACCAAGAGGGTGTTGGTTTAGAGTTTTCCTTTTAATTGTACGTAATCGTACGTAATGTGTTTCAACGATTTATTCATAGGTCGGCTACAAATCTTCGTTGAAAACCAGCCAGAGTATATCGGACTTAAGCAGCCACATACCAGAGAAACACCACCGTACGAACAGGCTAAGCACAGGTAACAACAAATCTGGGCAATCAACACAATATTCGAAACCGATTAATCCTTGCAAACCTATACCGAATCCGAAACCCCCATTAAAACATCAACAATTCATTAACAAAGTGTCGGGTGTGGGGAATGCGCTACCTAAGCTAGATATTCCACCTGAAAACTGCTTATCCAAAAGTCCGACTACGTCGTGCATAAGTGGCAAGACAAAATCGTCCGTTAGTCGACCGTTAACGTTAACGTTAAAGAAAACTGAAAAGTATAAGCTGTCGCTGAATAAACCGAATCAGTCGTTGCCGGAATCGCCGGTCTGCGAGGAGCTCAAGCTCCTGAAGGAACAGTGCAAAAAGAACGTTAGTCGATTCGCGAGGTTCGCGCAGAAGAGGAGGTCGTGCAGCTATTTCATCGGGTTGGACGACAATGAGGAGGACATGGAGAATATAGCTAAGTCATTCGAGAGCCTGCCGGCTATGAACGAACGTAACATCGAGATCTTAAACGACGCAATGGACGATGGGGACGAGGGCAACGGGAACTTCAGTGATGACTCGTTGGAAGGCGACTTCAAAAACCCGCCGCGGCGATGCGTCAGCGACTACCAAATAAATATGCACATGGATCATCAGCAGAACGTTCACAGAAATTATTCCACGTACCAAACATTCCCGAAGCGGATTCTAACCGGGTCTCAGGAAAGCATTTTGTCAGACGCGTCGGTTGAGTCTTTCTCAAAAGGGAGCGCGGAGATCTTGGATTACAGCCATTACGACAATGAGAGGCATTCCAGCGCGAGTTTCTTTTTGTCCCGCCGGAAAATGCAAGCTGGTCGAAGCCAGGAGAGCATTTTAACCGACGAGTCCGATTACCAGATGTTCCCGTTACAAGAGAACAACGATCACCGCAGCACTGAGAGTGTGTTGACCGACGACTCGGATTCCATGGTAAAATCTGCGCCGCTTGAGATGCTGTTCGACTCCCACTACAAACGGAAGAGGCAGAATTCGGAAACGTACAGTGGTAATCCGAACAATACTCTTGATCACCAAACGAATACTATTCAAGACACGACGAACAACGATTCGACTTCGTGCCGCGCAGTGTTCCGATCAAAATCGCTCCAGGACACGCGAATAAGCAAGGTCAGAAACGAAGAGAACGCACAGCCCGCTACGTGCGTTTATTACGAGTTCAACTTTAATAGAGAAGATCGTAATGATACGAATGTCGAGATGAGGATCGGGACGAAATCGGATTCTATTTCCCGAAGCAACAGTCTGAAAGTTCCGAAGGAGCCGCAGTCGATGCTGATTCTGAACGATTTCGTGGCCCACAAACCGCCTAAGCCTAAACGAAACTCGTCTCGGACTCAGAGTATGCGAAACAGGGCGCGACCTGCCTGGAACAAGTATGTTGATTCGTCGACGCAGTCCTCTCGCGTCAAGTCGACGGATGCCGACGGAACTCGAACGGAGGAATCTCGAGCGAGGAGCGACACCGAAGGGAAACCCGAAAGAAATGAATCTATGTGCAATTCTAAAACGATCGAGGAGCTGCTACAGTCTTCCAATTACTCCATGCAACATAACGACGATACCGATCCGAAAACCAAGTTTTACAGTTTGCAAACCCGTCGTTCAGACAAATGCGTCGCGTACGATATCGGTCGATCGATGGATAATTTCGCGTTCGATGAGAACGATTCCTCCCATCAGTCGAAGGTTTATCAAATTGAGGATCGACAAGATTCCAAACATTCCGCGGATAGGGATCGACGGTGTTGCTTCGAGAATCAAATTCCAACAAAAGATACGCAGGAAACGTACGATTCCTTAGAACCGAACGACACCTTCCAAACCGCGACTTTACAAACCGGCTCAAGTTTGCTAACTACGAACGAGCGCATCGACAATTTGGACGCCAGCGTAGATTTAAGAATCACCCGGGCCATCGAGGGGACAGTTAAATTGCTTTCGAAGGAGTTCGAGAATCTGGTCCGAAGAGAGCAGTATTTAATGAAGGAGAAATGTCTCCGCATGTCGCAATGCCAAGAGGCAAACGAAAATATGAAATTGGAAGCGGAGAGGGACGGCAGGTTTTGCTTTCTAAGACGCGATATAAGATTCCATTCCGGCGGTGAGGACAGCGATTGTGCGGACACGTCCGCGATGGACAAGTCGGTGATGGAGAGCGGCTCCTCGACCTCCGCCTCTAGCTGTACCAACTCGCCGAAGAGGATGTGGCCGCCAGCTTCACGCTGCCAGAGCCACATGAAATGGACTAAAACCTTACCCACTATTAACCAGGCCATACTACCATCCAAGCATCTTTACGCAGGTACTTATCCAGGCCAGAGGGAAAAAAGTTGTCCTTGCTCGTTTCGTTCGTACGTTCGTTACGTAGTATTTTGTACTTATTAGTATGTATCTCGATGTTGAGAACACGAAAACTGTCAACGATTGCTCCTCGCTGCTCGATTATTAAAAAGATACGAGATTCTTCTAACGGAAGGCTGTAACGATTAGAATGTAAGAACGGGCATCGAAGAAACCTGTTCGAGCTTGCGATGACAAGTCGTGTGTACACCGTTGAGAAGCACGAAACATTCTTAATCGTCTATTTCTATTATTATTTTTTATTATATTCTCAAATGTGATTGTTTCCTTGTACTAAAGACATTTTTAGTTAGCAATTTTATAAGACGGCAGCGATTATGTACTTTTCAGTTTATACGCTTTTACGAATATTTTTTTATTCTTTCATTCAGTTTTTGGCATGACACGCGATCGACACATGGCATGTTTTGTCCTTGCGATGTAGTTTAATCCCGCTCCCTCGATCCTCTATCGTCTATTTAAATCAGGCATGGATATCCTATCATATGGCCAAATTAGCATTCTGTCTCCAATGCAAGGGTCGGACCAAATTATTAAATAAAACAAACTAATGTTAAATGAATCAACATGATTTACTTCTTAATATTAAATTTATTTAGAATTATGGTCTGATAAAAAAGTGGAGGGCCGGGGGTTGCCCGGGTGGTTTAAATAATACGTCGAAGTCAATCGTGACATTCTTTTCTATTACAAAAGACCGCGCGATAGGCTTCGACTTGAAATTCTACAATAGTAAGCTACTTACGCATTTAACAAAACATCTATTAACCGAATTATTCTGTGAAAACGCCGTACACATAGTTGGCTATAACTTATATAAGACTCTCACAATTACGACACTATTCAACTATATTATTATTACTATATCGTCTCGCATACGTTGCTTTCGCGATATGCATGAGAGAACAGCTTACCTCGTTTCTACATAAAAGTTCATCGATCTATCAGATTGTACTAGCTGTGTAATAAATGTAAAGAAGGTAAGAGAGACAGAAAATCTGACACAATCAAATATACACTTTTCGAGCTGAAGGAAGATCGTAGCTTAGTGCATGTGTGTGCGTGTTGTCGACAGTTGGCAGTAGTGGGGCGCGAATCTCGTCAAAAGTTTTTGACAGTGAAGAGGAGGGGGGTGGCATGCGACGTGCCTGCTCGCTGAGTGATCTTTCCGTCAGCCCGCCAAATAGGTTACTGCATGGCCCCATACAAGGTATCCTTTCATTGTGTGCCGAAACTTTATCCGGGTCTTTCCAATGATAATTAAACACCTGGGCGCTTTCATTGTTTGCCAGACATCCGCGAGCGGCTCGCACGCCCCACGCGTACCAAGTTCATTTCTTTCGAACGTAAAGTGAAACTATTTGAAACTCGCTTTGGAACGGCCCGTCTATAAAGCAAAATTTTCTATCTTTAATCGTTCGACAGGCTCAACGAAGAGTAGATCTAATTGTATTTTGAACCGCTTTTCACAACGAGCCTGTCGAACGTTACTTTCTTTTTACGTAGACTTTCCTACTCGAACGTAAGACGAAAATTTGTGCGAACTGGACTGCCGCTAATTTCTACCAACAGTTTCAGGAAAAGTAGGTAACAAGAACGCGAATACTTCTGCGAGAGGTGGATTAGGAAACGCGACCAGCGGGAATCAGTCGCGGCACGCGTCGGCGAAGAATCATTCTTCTCATATAACGCGAAGCAGCAGCGTTGGTGTTCTGAACCAGGTACGATTCAAATAAATCTTATCGCCTCCCAATCGATCCTCAATTATATCGGACATTTTGGGCAACTTCTGGAATAAATCATTGCGTCGTGTACAAACATCGTAATTCTGCGAACGGTAACGGTACAGAGTGATTCCGAGTCGGATGTCGGCGCAGGCAACGGAAGAGGGTGGAACAGCCAAACGGGAAACAACAGGATTAGCGGATTGATGAGACCAACGATCAGTTCGCAGAACAAGATCAATCATCAAATAAAGTCGAACTCTTCTTCTAACAACAATTTACCTTCAGTTCTTAGGAGGAGGGGCATGCAAGGAGCGTATTCAAGTGGTAATGTCAATTAACGTGAGCTTAAATAATTAATGGCTTGAGAATTCTTAGTAAAACCTACCACATGCTATTTCAGTAAATCTAAGTCAAGTAGGTAATCAAGAGGATTCGAGCTCGGAGGATACATCCTCGAACGGGAACGGCGGGAAACCGGCGCTTCCTCCGAGACCTCGGAGCATTAGCATCGACCATTCAGTCGCAAAGTATGTAGAGTTTCGTGATACCCTTTTCATGTTAACTCTTCTACTACCAAGACCATCTACGCAGTACATGCGAAAATTGCTAGAGTTGATTTGATTTTAATCTTTGAATTGCTTGAATTGTCGTCCTGTCCCGATAATGCAAATTTCATACTATCCGAAGCGGGATCGGTTCCGCTACAGATAATGCAAATCCACATGAAATTGGCCCGGTGGTAACACTACGATTCCAGCAACTATTTAATTCTTTCTTTTATATTCTGCTATAGCTTAAGTCTGCCTGGTAACACAGTGAGGAGGTCGGGATCGTCGACGGTAATAACTAACGGGCGAAACGGAAACAGTACGCTCGGGCAGAACGTGAATAGTCGAATGTCGACAGCAAATCGCAACCAACTCGATCCCAGCCCTCAGGAACTTCCGGTTAAAGATACTGATCGCGCTATCGATGTAGCCAGTGCCGAGTGTAAGCGCCATATCTATCTATTTTCATTTACGGTAAAGTCGCGTTAAATAAATATGACAATAAATAATTTATTCATCTGAATAAAATGAAACCAAACATGACCTATTCTGAACACCTTTTTTATTTAAAAAATGCCATTTATTATTACGTGTCAGTCGTGTGTTATTTATAAATAAAATTCAGCATACATCATGTTTAGTCTTATTTTAATCAGAAAAATGTCAAGAACACGTTAGGAGAAGATCTTTCCAATTAATGGTTCTTTGAAAGACTACTTAAAAATTAGTAGTTCATTTAGGACCTCGTTAAAAATCAATTTTAATTACTTTTTCAAGACAACAATTTTGCACTTAACGTAGGGCTCATTTTTGCATTTAACGCGATTTTACTGTATCACGATTCGCTGTCATCTCGTCGTTTTCAAAAAGTGTAAGCATGCAAGATTGCAAAACAGGATACTTACTAAAAAATGTTTATCCGATTATGAAAGCCACTCTGATCTAACAAGAACTTTACTCTTGCAGTAGGCACGGATAAAACATTAGGTAAACTAAAGACACCTATTGAGAATGCTGTCCTGTGAAAATAATAAATCTTTCAGTGTATTAAAAAAAATTTGTAAGTGATCATGCTATGATAAAGCCAAAAAACCATTCAGAACCGTGTCGTTTGCCAAGTTTAGTACAGACTAGATTCTAGTCTGCAGATCGCTGTACATATCACATTGAAAATTGTCAACGAGAACGTAGACGTCCATTTCCATCTTCGATCGAAATGTCGCATTCTGTCCGCTTTCTGTGTTAATTGGTTTTCAAACTTCTTTTCGAATTATGTAAATATTGTACATAAACATTAGCGAAGATTCGTCATGAGTAAAGTCACGAGAAACTGATCCTCTCGTCTCATTGCATAGGCCGGAGATATTAGCCCTCATCGTTAGAACACTGTCCGAATCTCTAGATTTCGATCACAATAGCATGGTCTCATTACGGATTTTAGAATCGATGTAACCTGCACGCTGCACGATTATTCATCCCTCTTCCATCCTCTCAAATCGAATTACCATTACGTCCACTTATATCTGAAACGCGTTGCCAACAATCTTCTCATTGTTTCGCGACGCGCTTCGCCGAACTCTCCGAATAAAACGTTGGCAAATCATTTATCGCTTGCAGTGTCGACGCAACTGTGCAATACGATCGCGGACGAATTGACGCGAACAGCGGATAACGTGGTACAATTGTACAAACGTTTAACGATAGATAACGAGGACGATCCGTCCCGGGCCAGCATCGACAGGGACACGATGCTGCGGGGCCTCGAGTCCTCCGTCAACGAGACGATGCGCACATTACGGCTGGTCGTTTCCAGTGGCGAAGGCCACGATGGTTCGGGGAATACCGAGAGCGTAGCGATGAACGAGGCGACCGCCAAGTTCCAGGAACTGCTCGCAGGCCAGGACCAGGGCAAAGTGGTGAACATGATGCAGCAGTACTCCGAAATGCTCCTGAGCATGATGCAGCAGAGAATGGGTGGGACGCAGTCGAGCCATACGTAAACTCCGTCCATCCGTTAGTTCTCTAACACTGTCCAGCCGCACGCGGTGCTCAGGTGTCGTATAATGTGAAACGTCTCTCGATTTATCCTTCCCTTCCTCGCCCGAAATCTATCGAAATATGTTTATGCCGTTTGATATGTTGATCCTGCCTCCTGTGATCTGGACGCAGGATCCTCGTGTGCTTTACGTGGAGGAATTTGTGTTCGCATTTAAGTTTCGTTTTCTTTTTCTCAAGAAGAATTTTCTGTGTTTCCGATCGATTGAATTTTTGATCGGTAATGGTGACGAGTGGTATTTGTAGCCAAAGTTAGCGAAATATTTATCGGCATGAGAAGTTTAGAACGGGCTAATTTCGAGACACGATGATGCATTTCGATATTTTTCTGTCCCATATTTGAAACAGAAACTGTATACTCGTATTCCGAGGCCATACGCCGCGCCGTCAAATGCCAATTAACTAAAGACTCTTACACTAGTTTTTAAAACAAATATATATTATATATATATATATTTATCGACTACCGCGCGATATGTCATAATTATTAGCCCCTCGTTGTGCAACCAAAGGTTTTCTGTACCTACGGTCTAAAGAAGAGCAGCAACCTCCCTTCCTTTCCTCTTTAAAAGTGCTTCGACGAAACTTAAATAACAAGTAAGCGATGTAAACTTGTCAGTATGAGAAATGAAATACGATTGCTAGCTATAGTGCTCTGTAAACCTAACTTAGGAGTATAATGGTACGTAGGATGTGATTTTGTGTCGTGAGATCGATATTATCACAGAGTGAACGCGCGATCTGTCTCCTACTAATTTTACATCGCGGTGAAACGGTAGAATCATTCCTGAATGAACTGACAAATTTTGTGAGCATGGATAAAGACTGCAACGGCAGATGAATTTTTCGTTGGCGAATTTATTTAAAACCGGCAGCATATTTTATCATAGAAATTATAAATATTTTTACATACAAATAACGTCCAGAGACAAAAGTTCCACGAAGCACCGTATAATGAAATTTCATTGGAAACTCGAAGGCTTAACAGTTTCAGAGGAAGGAATTGTATCGAGGAATCATAGTATTAACGAGCACGTATTAGAATCGCGCGCCCGGATTCGTTGATTAAATTCTAGTTGACTTTCTTAACGTCCTCCTTTGTAAAGTTCTCCGACTATAAGTAATGTATAAAACGTGCCATTTAGGTTTAGTCGACATCATTTACAACGTCTACTCTTGACGAGAACGTTTTCATCGCTTCTTCGAGCGTGTCGTTAATCTCTCCGTTAATTAAATGTAACATATCTTTAGTGTCGTCCACGCGGATTCGTATACGTTCAAATAATTTATTAAGTACTACACGTGAAAGACTAATCCTATGACTAATCGCAATTTCAGTATTGCTTTAACGAGAATCGTTCTCTTTTTTTTCATTAATGATTCGATCGCAAAGGCCTGCGTTCTCGCGTTGCTTTCCCTTGATCCTGTAAAACCGCTCTTCGCAGAGTTGGTTTTATTGTTCTCGAACAATACGGATCGACACTTTTGCCGAATTTCATCGAGACGACGTAGCCATATATCGTTGAACGAATTTGCTAAAAATCAAAAGTTAATTACGTTAGTAGCTGCCTGAATCTTATCCCGTTTTAGAAAATCGGGGCCGATGTTTCAACTCGGCGGTGAAGGTGTTGGTCGCGTTTAAATAGGAACTATGTAGAATATTTTGTATCCGATATCGGAATTTTTGTAACCGAACGTGATAGCGTGTAAATGGAAGAGGACCGGGTAGATTGAAAACGTGTCGAATCTCATCTCATCGTCTCATACATCCCCTCATCGTACATATACATATAATATATTATATTTATCCAAGTTCACGCGTGGCAATAAAACCATTCCAAAATTTCACTCTCTCAGTGTAATAATAATCATCGTGAAAGACATTTGAAATATTTTTAACTGAACGCAGGAACGATTACCGACTTTGTATATCGTCGTAATCGTTATCGTTAAGGCGTACCGTTATGTAATACGTTACTTTCATTTTCTTAACTTGTATATATTTATTTTAGAACGTCTCGCAGGAGAATATATAAGACAGACAAATTTTTGGTAATCGTGGATGGAAAATTGATCAAGTTCGTCGTGAAGGCAAGAATGTAACTTTTTAGCACTTTGTTTTGTATATTATGTTAACAATTAATAATATAATACCTTTTCGAATGCCTAGAACATTCTTCTTCCCTTTGATTTTCGATCGCTTTCCCTCCTTTCTATATTTCTCCTATCGTTTTTATCTTCTTCAAGTTGACTGAGTTTGTCTTTCATTTGTAATGCGAGTTTAATTCGTATTTGTATTAATGAAAACATGAAGTTCTCAGGGTCTTTCTGAGATCGTGATACCATCATATTTATTTATTCGGGTTCTGTTCAGTTTCCGGAAAAGAAAGTTAATGATACAATAATTTTTATAAACTGGCGAATCCTCGGTTTGTCCCGCAAATTTTGTGAAAAGAAAAACGAGAAAACCGATTAAAGAATATATAAATTATTCAAGTTTTATTTCAGCAAAAAAAAACAACAACAACGCAACACAACCGTCTGTTGGTTTCCATGATTAAAAGTTCAATATACACACCCGTGCTAGAATAAAAATATATCTATAATAATCGTCTCTATAAAATAGGAACAGTCGTAATAATTATACGCACGTTTATAACATCAAATATAGAGCCTTTTTTTAAAATATATATAACAATCTGGTTTGAAGATCAGTAAAATATGCAACGTGTGATTGATCGATTGATTGATTTGAGGAAGACTTGTTCTTAAAATGATTGCGTGTATATGTAAATACTCTTATATATGCATGTATATATATATGCTGTTATTTTATCATGATTCATTCTCTTTCCTGCGATGCAACAAACGTATACGAGTATTAACAGTGAGATTAAAAATATGGGATGAACGACTTATTTAAAATAATTCTCTTTATGGAAGACCGTAATCAAACTGTTTGGCACTACTGTCGGAAAAAATCTCCCCGTAATCATTTAATATATTCCAGTGTTCTCTACTGTAGCGTGCGCAGTATCCCTTATTAATTGTAATTTATCTGGCGTGCGTTTGGCGCAATTCTTCGAGCTATAACAAAAATAAAACGACTTCAATACGCGATTTTGAAAGGAACAGGTGAATTGAAGATAAGAAGCGACTGACCTCCTTTTCCTCGTCAACATCTTCGTCGTCTTCGTCGTCGGAGCCGTGAATCGAAGCAGCAGGAGTAGTGTGTCTCGAGGAAGACGGTGACGGCGGTTCGCTGATAGGCCTAGGATAACTGAAACGTCCCACTCCCCCTTCGGAGTATTCTTCCTTCAGTTCTGGATAGACCGCCGTCAGCGCTTTCATTCTAGCTTGACGGTAATACTGTAATTGATTGAAATGAATGTGATTAAAATGATTTTGAGAGGGAGAGACGAGAAGAATACACTTACGATGCCAAGATTTCTCCAGTCGAGCAGATCGCTCAGACGTTCCGTACGATTTCTTTGAATGATGCGCTGTCGCCGACTTAGCCGCGCGAAATCGAACATGTAGTTCGCAAGCTGTTGGATAGTGTTCTCCAAACCGATAAACCGTCTATCTACGATGTAGATACCGTAACTCATCGGGTCGGCTATGTGCTCTTCCATGAAGCATCCGAAACCGGATAAGTTCGTAGTTATACTAGGAATACCCATAACGGTACATTCCGCGGGCGTGTACCCCCATGGTTCGTAGTATGAAGGGAACACTCCTAAGTGACAGCCTCGTACGAATTCTTCGTAATCAAGGCCGAATAATGGATTTGTAGACGACAGAAACTCCGGATGGAAAACTATCTATAATACGAAATTAATACAATTAGCGGTAATTGAACGTACAAGAGGAAGCTGAGACATCTGGGACATGGATTTTGATCTGGCCTTCTCTTGGTAGACGCAGGATTGCATTACCTTGACTCGGTCGTTAACTATATATAACAATCTGGTTTGAAGATCAGTAAAATATGCAACGTGTGATTGATCGATTGATTGATTTGAGGAAGACTTGTTCTTAAAATGATTGCGTGTATATGTAAATACTCTTATATATGCATGTATATATATATGCTGTTATTTTATCATGATTCATTCTCTTTCCTGCGATGCAACAAACGTATACGAGTATTAACAGTGAGATTAAAAATATGGGATGAACGACTTATTTAAAATAATTCTCTTTATGGAAGACCGTAATCAAACTGTTTGGCACTACTGTCGGAAAAAATCTCCCCGTAATCATTTAATATATTCCAGTGTTCTCTACTGTAGCGTGCGCAGTATCCCTTATTAATTGTAATTTATCTGGCGTGCGTTTGGCGCAATTCTTCGAGCTATAACAAAAATAAAACGACTTCAATACGCGATTTTGAAAGGAACAGGTGAATTGAAGATAAGAAGCGACTGACCTCCTTTTCCTCGTCAACATCTTCGTCGTCTTCGTCGTCGGAGCCGTGAATCGAAGCAGCAGGAGTAGTGTGTCTCGAGGAAGACGGTGACGGCGGTTCGCTGATAGGCCTAGGATAACTGAAACGTCCCACTCCCCCTTCGGAGTATTCTTCCTTCAGTTCTGGATAGACCGCCGTCAGCGCTTTCATTCTAGCTTGACGGTAATACTGTAATTGATTGAAATGAATGTGATTAAAATGATTTTGAGAGGGAGAGACGAGAAGAATACACTTACGATGCCAAGATTTCTCCAGTCGAGCAGATCGCTCAGACGTTCCGTACGATTTCTTTGAATGATGCGCTGTCGCCGACTTAGCCGCGCGAAATCGAACATGTAGTTCGCAAGCTGTTGGATAGTGTTCTCCAAACCGATAAACCGTCTATCTACGATGTAGATACCGTAACTCATCGGGTCGGCTATGTGCTCTTCCATGAAGCATCCGAAACCGGATAAGTTCGTAGTTATACTAGGAATACCCATAACGGTACATTCCGCGGGCGTGTACCCCCATGGTTCGTAGTATGAAGGGAACACTCCTAAGTGACAGCCTCGTACGAATTCTTCGTAATCAAGGCCGAATAATGGATTTGTAGACGACAGAAACTCCGGATGGAAAACTATCTATAATACGAAATTAATACAATTAGCGGTAATTGAACGTACAAGAGGAAGCTGAGACATCTGGGACATGGATTTTGATCTGGCCTTCTCTTGGTAGACGCAGGATTGCATTACCTTGACTCGGTCGTTAACTGTGTTAAAGAGATTGCACCTTCTGACAGAATTTAACACCGGATCGTTCCAGTCGTCTACAACGTTATGCGTAGTAACCGGAGGCAAGCCGTTCCTCTGTAAAGAGTACAGGCATCTGTAACAAGAAAGAGAAGATAAAAAACAGTTTCTTCGAAATTATCAGTTTTCTAACTGGATACTACCGTTTAATCTTAATGGTGTCTTCTTTTTGCAAAAGATCGTGCGCGTCGGGCATGCGACCAGAGAGGCATAATTCGTACATGCGTTTTCCTATTTTCTGTTGTATGTCATTGATCGTGTCCCTCAAAGATTTAACAATCTTCAACGATAAAACAAGATCAGTTATATCGAATGTAATCGTGAAATTTAACTGGAATTTAGAATGTAACTCACAGCGTGGCCTCGCAATGACTCGACGTTGAAATTGTTGGTCCGTGCTGGGAAAATGAGAAACGCCACGACGGTCGTGTCTGGTCTAGACGTTTTCAAATAATGATTCAGTCTGGCTAGAGCTTCGATAAATATGTCCGCGCCTTTGTTACCAAATTCGTAACGTCCGGCAATAAAGAAGTACAGTGTTTTGTCCAGATCAAAATCATAGTGTCTGAAATAATTCATCTCAAATAATAAACAGAACGAACAGCGTCAAAAACTACTGAAGAAATGTTAGAAAAGTTTTGTGACTGCCCTAATCCCTTAATAAATAGAATTAGATTTCACTGTTAATTATACATACCCATAGAAATGTCCTCTAACGAATTCGTGTATTTTCTCTTTGCTAACGGCGTGCAAGTTTTGAAACTCGTGCAGGGCAGCGAATTTCTTTACGTTCAGTCCATTCGGAGTAATTATGTCCGGCTTTCGTTTCAACAAATGCTCAGCTTCTAAGCCAGTTATATCAGAAACTGTTGTAAATATATGAGCTAAATGCGTGGCCGCGCGTTCCATGCAATATCTATGATAAATCTGTCGTTTCCCCGCTTCTTCGTCGACGTTAAACTGCAATGTTGAGAAATTAAAATAAGCATCGAAATAAACAGAGCATGATTAAGGATGTATTGGCTATACAGTCAATCCCAAAAGTTCATGCACTTTAGAAACGCATTTTTTAAAAAGAAATCACACGTCGGAAGAACATTGCTAATAATAAACAACAACAAAAATTTTTCGATTTTTCCGAGATTTTTCCAAGGGGTACCCCTCCAGATTTTGCAAAATTTTCGTCTTTCGCCAATAACTTCCAAACCGTTGCAGATACGGGAAAATTGCATAGGACCTTTCTTTTAGAGGACGACGAGATCTACAATCTGTATACCAAAGTTCTTCGCTAGCATCTATAATTTACGAGTAATTTGCAAAAAACTGTTTTTTCGTTTTTCGTCAATAACTCGTAAACTCATTGACCCTAGCAAAAAAATTTTATATAGAAATTGTAGATCTCGTCCTCCTC